CTCTGTTTTGTGTGTTCAGCAAAATCAAATAAGCAGTAGACAGCTTTACAACCTTGTGAGGTAGGTTTTAAACCATCTACAGATGGAAAAAACCTGAAACTTGGGCAGAAAATCCCATGCACAGTAATTGTATCTAAATGATTATTGGCAGTTCACAAATTTTGGAACTCAATTTGTTATTGCTGTCTCTAATTGCCATTTCCCAAGTTTTAATTCATTGTTGTTGATAGACACAATRCCTTTTTTTTATTATTATACTTATGTGGTGCTGAGGATTGAACCCAGTGTCTCATGTTCTAGGCACACGCCCCAACCCTCATATTCCAGGTTTTAAAAATTTTTATTGTAAAGGTCATGTAGAGTGAGCATTCAAATACCAGGTGGTCTTTTTAGATCATATGTCATTGCCATAAATCTAATTTTTGAACAGCAGTGTCAAAATTCTAGTACARTAAAACACCTGTATATCTTTCACTTAGAATTCTGTATTCAAATTTTGCCATGTTTTCTTTTCCCCATCTCCCCATGTCAGTGGCCTTACAAATGTCAGGCCACTTCAACTCTAATCAGTCTGATCTGGAGAGCAAGGATTTCCCCATTCTTAACCTATTCTAGTCATATTCTTGTCTAGCACTAGGTCAGCTATTGTCAAGATCACCAATCCAATGACCATTGTTTTGTCTTTTTTGTACTTGTTTTGATACAGTTGATCTTGGAGTGGCTAAGTAGTCATCTTCATCTSTTAACTCTATTCTTAGAACTTCAGGCATATAGAAGTTGATGGTTTCAACCCAGACCCCTTTCCTGAACTCTATTTCCAGTTGACAATTTTGCATTTTGATGTGAATAAGCTAATTGGTATTTCAAACCTGAAATGTTCAAACTTGTGRTTTTTGCCTTGAGATCTCAAAAGAGTTTTTAACCATCGCAATGTATGGCAGCTCTATTCTCCCAATTGCTCAGGCCAAAAATAACATTTTTAAATTCATTTATTACATACCCATATCAGCAGGTAAGATTTTCTGTTTTGGTAGTGGGGATTGAACTCAAAAAGTCACTCTAAACACTAAGCCACATCCCCAGCCCATTAAATTTTAAGACAGTGTCTTGCTAAGTTTTCAAGGCTACCCTCAAATTTGTGGTCTTCCTGCCTCAGCCTCCCCAATACCTAGAATTACAGGTGTGCACCAACATGCCCCMCTCAATAAGACCTTTTGGCTACTGTCATGGTATTTAGAATCTTGTCTTCTTATTTCTGTCAGAGTTAACTACAAGATGTTACCTGGTGTCCCCTCTCCAGCCATTTGTTGACKGTGTTTTTTTCCATTCTTACACGTTCTGATCTTCCTGGCCGCCTCAAGTGTTTTAAACCATGTTACTGAGAAAATATGTGCTGATTGGCAGCATTACCTGGCAATTTGATAGAATCACAAATTCTAGGTTCCCAGACCTACTGAGAATTAGGGGATGGGACCCAGGTTTCTATCTGTTGCTAGTTTTGGTTTTGTGTGTCATTATTTTGGTTGGGTTGTTTTTTGTTGTTGTTGTTTGTTTGTTTTTGTGATGCCAGAGGATTGAACTCAGGGCCTTGTGCATGCTAGGCAAATATTGTACCAAGTTCTCCTGCCTTTGGATAGTTTTACCTAAATGGTCCACTTTTACCTAAATGGTCCCCTTGCTTTATCTAGAGTTTTGCCTGATCACCCTGTATAAAATGTCTTGTTACTCAGCCTCCTCGCATCAACCCTAGTTTTTCTTCTATGTCAAGATGAAGTACATTCACTTATTTGAATGTTTTCTGTCTCAAACATGAAATACAATTCAGACTGAATCAATCCGTTTTGGTCAGTATGTTGAATTTCATGTTGAATATCCTTTTCTTCTTCCCTTCACTTTCCTTTTTAAGACTGGAATTATGATAATGTAGATGCCTTTAGGATTAGGTTTGTTGGAATAAGATCTGCATTATTTGTTTCATTAAAATTTTGCAGGTTGAAGCATGTGTGAAAGGCCATGTTTAATTTTACTAACTCTATAGAATTCACACACCAAAAAAATGTGACATGGTTGACTTGTAAAACTAGGGTGAGAGATATAGAATAGTTACATTTCACACTAAAAGACATTTTGTGATAAAGCACAGAAGAGGCTATGAAAAGAATCATAATACTGCCTGTCCGTCCTAACAGTTAAATAACCTTTTCATGTTTAAGCATCTGCTCTGCAGGTTTAGTAAATGGGATTGGATGTTAAGGCCTTTTGGTGGTAATTATTTAAAATGTGGGAGTGTTTTTCATGTTTTCTGCAGGTGGTTATCACCAGGCTAAAATTGGACAAAGACCGCAAAAAGATCCTGGAACGGAAGGCCAAGTCTCGCCAAGTAGGAAAGGAAAAGGGCAAATATAAAGAAGAAACAATTGAGAAGATGCAGGAATAAAATAACCATATTTACAATTTGCATTAAAAACGCTAAAATGAAGATATTTTGTTTTATGTGTGGTACTTTGGTGGTTTGGTTTCTAAGTACTTAACAGTTTCCTGAAATCAGATGGTGGTTTTTTTGCAGCAGGCACAGAAGCATTTGGTCTACATCATGGCTGCATTGGGCTCATCGGGAAGGCCTACAAAAGAAGCCAGCTGGGAATATTTATTTCTTGAATTTGTCTTCCTTCTAATGGGCTGCCATAAGGATACAGCATATTTACTTTTTTTCATAAAAATTTATSTCTTTGGATAAAAAGTCTTAGAATAAAGAAGAGAAGCTGCTGTGACCAGTAGCCCTGCTTCAAACTTTTCCTCTAAAATGAGAAGTCTCACTTTCTCTGAGCTACATGTGGGTCCTCTGAACTTATTTTTGCACTGGTRCTGATTGAGTGCTGTTAGTCCAAAATCTTTGGGTTGCAGTATGAAATACAAAATGTTCTAAAATACAGGTTCTTTTGGAGTACTGAAATGGTGTGAAATGCAGGCAGTTGATTATAGCTGCAGTGTGTGCAATCCTATAAGCAGGCAGGAAGCATGAAGGCAGTTCACTTTCCAGGCAGGAGGCATTTGAGGTTTTGTGACAATGTGAGAAATGGGTAATATCATTTGCCTTAGCCTGGTCACATGCATGCCAGCCCTAGGTATCATCTCAGCAAAAAAAAAACACTAAATACTGAGTCTGCACAGCTGTCCTGCCCAGCCCTCTACATTCAAAAGGTTTCTCCTTGCCTTGGGTCCCTTTGGGAGTGGGGCTTCCAACCCTGCAGCCTCGCTTCTGCTGAGGAGGGCGGGTCATGGAGATGCTGTTCTGGTGCTGTAGTTAAAGCTGTTTGCGGCCTGGAGGAATGAGCATCGCTCAAGCAATGTTCCCTGGAGTGTCCCTTTCACCCTAAGAACTGCCCTGAGTTTTGTAGTATCCAGCCCTTTCCTGTACCACCCACTGGAGTCATTCATGTAGCCCTGAGCTGCCCACCCTTCACCAGGTAGATGGGGGCAATGATTAGCCTACCAGGTCAGCTGAGGCTGCCAAAGGGGTGTAAGGAGGACCTCACTAACGAGGTGATACTCAAACCCAGAACTARCTAGAATTTGTGTTTCATGAAGCCTTATGTGCATTATCATTGAGTCCTAATAACAACTTGCTATGTAATGTCCCCATTACAGATGAAAAAAACTGCAGCCCCAGTAACTTTGCCTTAGTCACATAGTAGAGTCAAAAATTGAATTCTCAAGAGCTTACACTAAACCATACTCCTGCACTGCTTCAGTAATAACTGCATACCTGTAAGACGTGTTTCAGAGATAATCTTTTGAACACCTTTTTGTGCTCAAACTATGGGATGCAGGTAGGTAGAAACTTCAGCCTTCTAGGTTGTATACATCTGAACCTGTGGAGCAAAAATGCAAAGCAGAGTGCTACAGCAGGTGGTACAGGCTGTTCAGCTGAGGGAGAGATGGCCATTAGCTATAGTTGCTGAATACATCAGGAAGACTGGCTTGAACTGGCTATATTTTGGGAAATCGGTGAAAAATTCCATGTTGGGAAGAGCCCAAGCAAAGATGCACAGATGGATGAGGAAGRGAGTAAACATGGCTTCGGAAGACCCAATTTATCAGTTACCCCAGCAACACAAATCACAAGAAAAAGCCTATTTAGGTCACATTTCTTTCATGTTGCTTTAGAAAATACATTGGTAATTAAGATAGCTACAGCACTGTGCRTGTAAAATGAAAAAAGTAGTTCACTTAAAGACTGGGTTATGGGACTACAGGCTCCACCTAAGGGAAGATGCTGCCTCAACTCAAGACAGTTGTTGCCCTCAGTGTGGCCAGATCTTTCCATTTTTTAATATTTAGTTTTAGGTGGACACAATATTTTTATGTGGTGCTGAGGATCAAACCTAGTGCCTCTCGCATGCTAGGTGAGCGCTCTACCRCTGAGCCACAACCCCAGCCCCCATTTTTCAGGATTTTTATGTGAAATTTCCCAATCTGTAAATATAAGTAAATCACTAATAATAATAATGATGATCACTGTGGCCTTTAGACTGTGCTTTTAGGGTAGAATGAGGCCATCAAATATTAAAAACATTTTATATCTTTTATAAACTATTTCCAACCTGTCTTCATTTTTTTATAGGATGGAGGTGAGCCTTCTTCCTCTGGAATCACCTGAAGGGCCTCAAATAACAACCAATACAGCCACTCAGTTTTAATAGATGCTGGTTTAGTATGGTATCTGAGAGGAGTTCTTCCTGGACCCCACTGAATACCTTGTGGTTTTAAGTCTCTTGCAAGGATCACTACGACTGACTGGAATAGTAATGCATATTCCTTAGAAAACTAAGTCCCAGGCTGGGGTTGTGGCTCAGYGGTARAGCGTTTGCCTAGCATGTGTGAGGTGCTGGGTTCAAATCTTAGCACCACATAAAAATAAATAAAAGATATTGTGTCCAATTACAACTAAAAAAAATATATTTTAAAAGATAATTTATGGGCTGGGGGTGTGGCTCAGTGGTAGAGCGCTTGCCTTGCAGGTGTGAGGCACTGAGTTCAGTCCTCAGCACCACATTAAAATAAATAAAGGTATTGTGCCCATCTATAACTAAAAAAAAWTTTTTTTWAAATAAAAAATATAATTTATAAAAAGAAAGAAAACAAAGTTTCATGTCAGTGATAACATGGAAATGGTAGGTGAAACAAACTGATTTCTTTACTGCAAGACCTTTACAGCCTTCAAAATGTCAGTTTGCACTGAAGATCTTGAACTCAGGCTTAGTGTCAAGAGCATTTAGCAAAAGTTTCTTCAATTCCAAAATGCATATTTTTCACAATATGCAATTGGGTATGTCTTATCAGTACATTATTATGGGTTCTATTAAGTCAGTGGTTTTATAATCAGTATTGTCAGGGTCAGGAATATTCCACAATTAGCCAGTGCTGCTGAGGAAGGGAATTTAGAGTCGTTTTAGTGGAGAGTCTTTTTTTTTTTAATTTTTTTATTCTAATTTGTTACATATGACAGYAGAATGCATTGCAATTCATATTACACATATAGAGCACATTTTTTCAAATCTCTGGTTATATACAAACTATATTCACACCATCCGTGTCTTCATACATGTACTTAGGGAAATGATTTCCATCTCATCCACCATCTTTCTTATACCCCTTACCCCCTCCTTTCCCCTCTTCCCCTCTGCCTATCTAGAGTTCGTCTATTCCTCCCGTGCATCAGAGAAGGCATTTGGCATTTGGTTTTTTGGGATTGGCTAACTTCTCTTAGCATTACATTCTCCAACTCCATCCATTTACCTGCAAATGCCATGTATTCATGGCATTTGATTTGTATATATATACCAAAGTTTCCCTATCCATCTACTGACGGGCATCTAGGTTGGTTTCACAGTTTAGCTATTGTGAACTGTGCTGCAGTAAATATTGATGTGGCTGTGTCCCTGTAGTATGCTCTTTTTTTAATATTTATTTTTTTAGGTGTAGATGGACACAACACAATGTGTTTATTTTTCTGTGGTGCTGAGGATCAAACCCGGGTCCTGCCCATGCTAGGCAAGCGCTCTACCTTCGAGCCACAATCCCAGCCCCAGTATGCTCTTTTTAAGTCCTTTGAGTATAGACCAAGGAGTGGGATAGCTGGGTCAAATGGTGGTTCCATTCCAAGTTTTCCAAGAAATTTTCATACTGCTTTCCATACTGGCTGTATCATTTTGCAGTCCCACCACCAATGTACAAGCATGCCTTTTTTAGTGAAGAATCTTTAATACCTGAAAACAGCCTCAGCTTAACTGGGACTTTTGCTCAGAGCTTTTCAACATTTCCAGCTTTTTCTGTTTCTCAGGAATCTATCTTCCCTTCAGCTCTGCATCTGATGACTAGAATCCCAAGGATCTTGTTTTCTTTCTTTCTTTCTTTCTTTCTTTCTTTCTTTCTTTCTTTCTTTCTTTCTTTCTTTCTTCTTTCTTTCTTTCTTTCTTTCTTTTTTTTTTGATCTTAAGTTTGAATTTATGTTTTGAAATAAAAATTCAATAACAAATTTTAACAAATTTTTACAAAATTGTCACACAGGAATACATCATAAGATACCATTACATGCTACATTGTCTTAGAAAAAGTCAGTAGATYGAATCAATTAGCTGTAAATTAAAACATGAGTTCCTTTCTTTGGGCAAAAAGAAAGCTCATGTGAAATGTTGGACAAAAGCCAGTGAGACCTGCCAGTATAGTCAGTAATGGCTCAGTATCTCCAAGTGTGAGGAAGCCAGGATTCTGGCCTTGTTGGCTGGGGCTAAGCTCTGTCCTCCAGTTTCCCTCTGTGCATAGGACAGGCTCCCACCAGATACTTCTGAGGTCCTGTGTGCATGGTTCTTTTATTTCCAGTAACTACATACAATTTTGCCACTATTTTACTTTGACTGTAAACTTCCGAAAATAACATTTACAAGTTTTACCACAAGGAATACCATGATTTTTACTATGACTTTCACCACCTTTGCAAAAATATCCATTTTGTAAGTTTCTGGTTTGGTCCGTCTTCTTATGGCACTATTCATGCCTAAGAAGCATCTGCCATAAACACACCTGTACATGTAAGAAACCAGCRGGTGGTGCTTTTCTGAAGCCCAGTCTATGGCTCTGCCTACACTGAATAGGCTGTTCCACATCTTAGGCTCAAACCATTTTCTCTCAAATTACAGAGTGTCCAGCTGATAATTATTGTTCTTTCCTTATATTTTCACTATTTATTGTACACAACATATTTTAGTATGTTCCTGTAGCAGTTCTTCATTTATCCTAACAATCAAAAATTGAATTTTTTAATATTAGTTCTTTAGACATTTTGTTGGTCTGTAAAGTTGATTTGCATAAAAACAAATGAGAAGAAGCATATGCTGGTAGATCTTAGCACCTTAGAGTTATGATTCTGTCCCTCCATTAATGTTGCAAGTTAGCCTTAAAAGAATCAACTCAGCTTGCTCATACTTTCTCTAAAATATTTAGTTCTCTTCTTCAAGTAAACATAATTTTTTTTACAATAGGCATGCTCAGAACAAATAGCACAAAACCATGAGCTATGACAAGTGATGTAAAAATGCAGTTGGCTGACTTCCATTTATCAATTCYAAAATAAAGGCTTTGAACATGCCCATGTCCCCAAGTTCTAAGGTCCATAATCCCACATCATCATTTGTATAGTTTGACAAAAACTAGAATGCACAGTCTTTTTTTTTTTTTTTAAAGAGAGAGTGAGAGAGGGGGGAGAGAGAGAGAGAGAGAATTTTTTTTAATGTTTATTTTTTAGTTCTTGGCGGACACAACATCTTTGTTTGTATGTGGTGCTGAGGATCGAACCCGGGCCGCACGCATGCCAGGCKAGCGCGCTACCGCTTGAGCCACATCCCCAGCCCTAGAATGCACAGTCTTAAGTATGTGTATGACAAGTGATGTAAAAATGCAGTTGGCTGACTTCCGTTTATCAATTCTAAAATAAAGCCTTTGAACACGCCCATGTCCCCAAGTTCTAAGGTCCATAATCCCACATCATCATTTGTATAGTTTGACAAAAATTAGAATGCACAGTCTTAAGTATGTGGAGGAAAATATTATAATTCATCATTACTGAAACATTTAATCTTCATAAATTWTTGAAAATTCATAGCATGGCATCACTAAATCTTATGAATTATGAAAGATGTAAATTTACAATAATTTCCTCTCATAATAATTGCACCATTATCCATATTTATTTATTCCTAATTAAACTCAAGTCCAACTACCCATTTTTGAGGTAGCTTCATTGTGATTCTATTGCAGAAGTGGTATGTTTCAAAGTACCATCTTTAGATAAAATTTAAGTGGGAGAGGAAACAAAGTATTACTTATATTGTTTTCTCACTTGGCATACAAACTAACAAAATCAACTATTTCTTTAGGGATAAAAATACAGTTCTTTTGTGAGCATGGACACAATACATGGAATCTGTTTCTTTGCATGAAAAATGGAGTCAAGGGAAAAAGACTCAAATTCTGTTGCTACCTTTACCAGAGTGAGAATATGCATAAACTCAAGCTTATGAGCATACAGTTTCAGCATAGCACACAGTAACTGGATGAACCAGGATCCATCCTTAGAATTTCGCCAGGAATAGTAACCTGGTGCTGTAGAATATKCATATAAGAAGTCAGCCTCTACTGGTATTTTGTGGCATGCCCTGTCATCATCAATGCCACTGTCTGTCTCAATGCCACAGTCTAGTTCTGTACCCTGGCAGGCCTGAATAATGAAAAGTTTGGGTTTTCCAGTTAGACTTCTACAATAATCTCCTCTGAAGAAACTCGTTAATTTTTTCAGGCCAACAGGTCCATTTGTTCCAAATATTATTCCTTCATCACCTTGGCTTAGAATTACACAAATAAAGGTGCTCCTTTTGCTATGATCTTCTTTAGAAACATCGTGCATTAACGCCACAATTTCTTCATGTGTAAGGTCATTTTTATTCCTGACTTCATATTTCAAGTTCATGAATGTTTCTCTGATGTTTGCTGCATCTACATCTGTACCAGACCGAGAGGCCATTCCAGTGCTTTTATGAAAGTTCTTATTATTAATTATCAAACATAAACCCATTTCAGGATAATCCATTTTGTAATRATTGCCCAAGGATATTCCAGAGTCCATTGATTTGCTTCCATGTATGATCTTTGGTTCAAAATTTTTAATGGATTTTGAATCCACTGGGTTTTCATTGTTCTCCATGGTTRTTTTTCTTAATGGGTCACTCTAGGGAGCGCCACTCCGCACACACAGCTACCTCTGCGACTGCCAGGCTTCCGCCACCCCCCAAGGATCTTGTTTTCTTAAGCTTGTTGGATTCCCCTTACCAGTATATGAACTTTTCCTCTGACCCCATCCCCATCCTGTACCTTAGGGTTGTTCTAACTAAGAAATCTTGATTTAGATGCCTGAATATCAAGTTCTTTTCCTGAGGAATTCTCTGCTCTTAGTGGCACGTCAACTTCATTTGGGGTATTTCTTTTTAGCATAGCAATCTGACATGGCTCTTTGTATGGAATTATCTTCATTTCTGGAAACAGATCTTGCTACCTTTGTTTAGAGCCATTAAGCCTGCACCTGAAAGTGTCTATCTCCCTTGGAGTGCTCAATTACACGTGGACCTGTCCTTCATTCTGGAAAAAGGGGTTTCATTTTAAGAATTGTTAAAACAGGTCAGATGTACTGACCTCCCAGAAAGGCAAACCCCTTTTCCTCACCAACAAAGCTAGACTCATTTTGTTGGATCCTGAGACTTTCTCCTAATCTCTTCTATATAATATTCACATGATTCATTCAGAGTCATCGTACTAGGATACCTTTATTCCTGGCGCTCTCCGCCATCTCTTCCCAATCCTGCTGAAGCTATTCCTTAGCCCAACCTCCAAGGTCASAATGGTCCCTGTGACAGCAGCCAGTACTGTTTTAGGAAACTCTAACATTTGAGAGTCTAAGCAAAGATTCCACATATTTGGAAGGCTCTTGGAAGGACTGCTTCTGAGACATAATGCTAGATAGTTATGAGAACATGGTTCCACAGGGTGAGGACCCAGAATCTTCATTTATCAATCCTATGTACAATCATTAGGGGAAAACCATCATTTAAAAATATCCCCACTGATTTCTTCTTGGTTCCCCTTAAAGGAGGACAGACTCTTCAGCCATAGGAAATTGATYGTGTTGATTGTAGAAAAGCTAAAAAGCCCTCTCTCTGCTAACTTCTATTTAAGAGTTTGCTATTATTTTGTTGTATCTTCTGGTACCATTGCCCATTTACATTATTTTAAAAGACACTGAGGGTGTTTACGGGCTTATAATTTCAATGACATGGGAGAATGAGACTGGAGGATCACAATTTTGAAACCAGCAATTTAGTCCTAGAGATTCAGTTAAGTGGTGAAGTGCCCCTGGGTTTAATCTCTGGTACGAAACAACAACAAAAAAGGTACTGAGGATAAGATATTTACCTACTACCTTAGGGATTTCTACTTCTATTTAATTAACAAGACCTATTTATTAGGTCTCACTGTATAAGCTAATGGTTTCCATAATGTTTGCCTATTGTCTAAAATCGCTACATATTTGTTACCTTACAGATTTCAAATTCTGTTGGCATGCTCTGGTTTTGAAAGCTCCTCACTGGCACTCTGATTGCTTTATCCTATTATTCTGTTATCTTTCTTCCATATAATAGTCTTCAAAAATCAGATGAAGAATTTCAGGGGTTAAGTCCTTCAGTTGGAGTATCGGTGAATTTAAATTTGTTCCATTTTCTTAATCCTTTTTTTAGGATCCTTCTTTCAGTTCTTCTTAATGCCACAGAGAGCTAGAAATGATCCACTTGGAATTTCAAATGAAAGTGAAATAGAAATGGAGATAAGTCACATGAGAGAAAATTTTCCTGCAAGTGTAACAAAGTTAATAGAAAGCAAAAGTTACAACAGCAAGGTATTTTCCGAAGAAAAATACTTTTAAACAACAAAGGAAGTCAAAGAAGCTAAGATAAAGGGGAAGAGGTCATCACGTGATTATTGCCATGCCACAAAATATGATGGGGCATCTCTGTACAGGGCACAGAGAAATTGATAGAGGTTACTCATGGGGAGCGAGATCGAATATGGTGTTATGTACATAAAGAAGAGTTGTTTGATATTCTTCATTGTACACATCTCAGTATTGGGCATGGTGGGCAAATACACATGCTCAAGGAGCTGCAAGGAAAATATGGGAATGTCCCCAAATAAGTCATTGTCTTATATGTCTCTGTAAACAGTGCCATCAGAAGAATCCAGTGCCCACAGAGGCCTTGCACCTAAGCCCATGACTTTTAAAGACATGGACTCCAGATGTCAAGTTGAAATACTTGACATGCAGTCAAATGCTGTGGCAAGTTCAAGTTTATTTTATATTACCAGGACCACTTGACAAAGTTTCTTATTTTACGGCCATTAAAAGCCAGAAAGACCCATGAAGTTGTCAGTGTTTGTTGGATATATTCATAATTCTTGGTACATTCAACATGTTAGAATCTGACAGTGACATAGAGTTCACAAACCAATCTGTTAATGAGCTCAATGAGGTATGGCCAGACTTTAAGATTGTCTCTGGAGAGTACCTTGCTGGCCAAGGCCAGGGCTCCCTGGAACAAACAAGGCATGATGTGAAGAACATGATAAATTTTTGGATGCAAAGTAACCACTCATGTTACTGGGMAGAAGGCCTACGTTTCTTACAAATCTTGAGGAATCAGACCTTTGATGTTTCCTTACAACAGAGTCCATATGAGRCAATGTTTGGTTGTAAAGCCAAATTTGGACTATAGTCCTCAAACTTGCCCCAGGAAACTGTGGCCATTTTATAAACAGAAGAATAGCTAGAAGTTGCTGAAGAAAAGTTAGAAAACAGCCTGTGGATCAGGCAGAAAGAAAGGGCCGAGACGGGAGCAAACAGATTGGATACAGATGAGGACATGGAACCTACTCCTGAAGCTACAGAGCCCAGTACCTCACAAAGGGCCTCCAGGCTCCTCTGCTGGTAAACAGACACCTGATGGGGTGGACACCMGCACATATCTCTCTGGGCATGACATTTTCACCTAAGAACTGTTTGTTACAAAAGACCCCAGAAAGACAAAATGAAGGCAGCATTTAGGTTGAGTTGCACCCAGTAGTCCTTATTTGGAAGGAGAAAGCAAATCAAGTCTGTATATTTGCTCTAGAATGACTGTAATAAATGACCACAAAGTTGGTAGCTTGAAACAACAGAAATTTATTGTCTCACAGTTCTGGGGTCAGAAATCTGAAATCGAGGTTTTGGGATGGTTGGTTCCTTCTGAAGGCTCGGAGAGAGAATCTACTCCATGCCTTTCTTCTTTCTCTGGAGGCTACCAGCCATCTTTGGTGTTCCTTGGTTTGTGAGCTGCATAAGTCTAGTCGGCTTCCATCTTCACCTGGTCTTCTCCCCTGTGTCACTGTGTCTGTTCTGCTTTTCTGTCTCTTGTAAGGATACCACTGGACACCAAATCCATGTTTTTGGATTTATTGCCACCCTAATCAAGGATGATCTCATCTCTTAAATTACTTCTGCAGAGACCCTTTTTCCAAGTAAATTCGCATTCACAGATGCCAGGGCTTTGAACTGAAGACGTTTTTTTGGGGGGGAGACAATTCTATTTCAGTCAATAGAAGAACCTCTTTGTCTGCAAGTTGAGAACTAATGGGATCTTAAGCATGGGGGAGGTGGTGTAGGACTGCCTGACATATATCTAGCATATCCTCCTGCCCCTCAGACAGATACTCCTAAAGATAGAGGCATTAGAAGTAGATGAAGGAAAAGGAGTGAAAATAAAAGAGGAACCAGGTGCAGTGGCACATGCCTTTCATCCCCATGATTCAGGTGGCTAAGACAGGAGGATTGCAAGTTCAAGGTCAGCCTCAGAAACTTAATGAGACACTGTCTCAAAAAAGGCTGAGAAAATAGCTCTGTGGTAAAGCACCTGAGTTCAATCCTCAGTACCTACCCTCCCAAAAAACAGGTGGGTCTAAAATGCCCTAAAGACCGGTCTCTTCACCAGTGGGGTGCCATTTTCTGCTTCAAGAGAAATCCTAAGTGCCATCCCTGCTCTCAGAATGGCAAGGACTGGAAATGGTGTGGCCTGCCTGAAACATAAAACTAGGTCACAATTAAGGCATGGCTGGAATTTGGATCCTGCTACACCACTTGTTTATGCCTCAAGCGTTTAAAAGCATGTTGTATTTCTGGCACAGGTCTGTGAATTCCAGGAAGTGACCAATAGGGAAACAAAACAAAGAGTTGGCTTGAGGTCACTGCTCCAACTAGAAAGGAATAGGGCATGTCTAGTCTGGGTCATAGTTCTGAGTAAAGAGGACTGACCTGGCCAAAGGGAAAGATGATGCCCAGGATCTGTTACTGCTATGGTTTCAAGGCCTAGAAAAAACAGTGGGAGGTGTTCCATGAGTTGATCCTGTGGAGATGTGCACAGAAAAGGAGAAAGGGTCCTTTATTCTTCATACAGTTCTCCTTCCTCATAACCCAGAGCCATCTAAAAATGATTCTGGCTGGGCACGGTGGTACACACCTATAATCCCAGCAGTTTGGGAAGCTGAGACAGGAGGATTACAAGTTCAAAGCCAGCCTCAATAATTTAGGGAGGACCTAAGCAAGTTAGCGAAACCTTGTCTCCAAATTAAAAAAAAAAAAAAAAAAAGAGCTGGGGATATGGCTCAATGGTCAAGCACCCCTGGTTTCAATCACCAAAAAAAAAAAAAAAAAAAAGCTGGAGATGTAGCTCAGTGGTAGAGGGCCACAGGGCTTAATCTCCAGTATTAAAAATAATAATAATAATAATAATAATAAAATAAAAACCTGATTCCAATTGACTCTAATGCCAACTTCCTCTTCTGTAGGGGACAATAACAACTCTGATGTTTCCTTCCTCACAGGGTTGCTTTGAGAGACAAGATAATGTGAAGGGACTCTCCATAAACAGTAAACTTCTACTACTAGTAGTGAATCCTAACATCCATGCAAGACTTGGAAAACTATGTTCATTGCCATTCCTTTTCAGGTTAAACTGTTGGCGAGTATTCCGGGAGCTGCATTATTTTTAGATAGGAGAGGTTATTACTACCCAGCTTGTTTTGAAGTGCAAAGCCTTGCTCTATCCTTGGCCAGCATTTTACTTT